CAGGCAAACTTCCTTCAAAGCATGCAGAGCCCCATTCTCACTCTTTACTGTAGTCATTGAACAAAGGATCAATTTGCATTGAAGATTTAAGATAAACCTGGGTGATGTAGTATCAGACTTAACTAACTTAGGTTAAATCAGAAGTTTATTGAACTTCTGTCCCAGATCCCCTCCAGATTCAAGTTTACTCAGTTCCCCAGCATCCCAAGATGCTTAGCACCTGCCTTGCAACCCCCCCTTCAGAGAGTGGGTGGACTAGCCTTGGCCCAAGCTGTCTGCTCCAACAGAGAAGGGAGGTGTGCTCTAGCACTCCCTGGCTTCTGGCCTGGGCCACTGCAGGCATGTGGCTGCATTTCCAGAATCAGAATTATAATGTCTGTTCACTTGCTTGTCGGTTCAACCTATGCAGCTTAGACTAACTAACCTGTGAAGATTGAATTGATTCAGCCTTGGGCTTTTTGACTGTCTGTACTTAGCCCTCAAAGCTATTACACACACATAGCTTCCTTAAAATTGTACCTGGGGTCCATGCTGATGTTCTACAATGAAGCAGTGAAACACTTGCAGTATAGATTCCTGGATATTACTGTATTTAATTATTCTAACATTTCTATTTCATTTGTAGAAAGCAATTGTTTCTTTGTATCTTCACCTCTGACACTGGACAGAGATTTCCAGTCTATTGGAGACAGCCTGTGCCTGGAACTTACACTTTTTCCCAGGCTATTTATCTAGAGAAGTTACTTCTGGCATTTCTGTGGCTACGGGTGGTGAACAACTGTCAAAAGAATCAGCCATTTTAGAGCATGGTCACTAGGAAGATTGTTCATATGAGCCCTTCTCTCAGAATTGTTTGTGGCAGAACTGGGTTATTTGTTAATGTTTTTGTTGTTGCTCAATATCCAGTTTGCTACATAGCTAAGCTTGCTCTGAAGTTAGCATCTGAGATCATCGGGTTAGCTATACTTTCTACTGGATCCAACCTTTTGAAATGAATCTTAACTTGTGAAGAGTCCCTCCCACTTACTAATTAAACCAGGAATCTTATTAGAGGAGAATTAAGGATAAATACAAAATATACCTGCACTAATTATGGCATACCTTCATAGCAGGCTTAAATATCTGACATCCATATGGGTCAAGAGCAAAATCCTGTACTCAATCTTGAACCCTTGAGTCTGACATTCCATTACAAGGCAAAATAAAAGTTTGCAAAGCTTCACTGACTAACTGGAAAATACTTTGCCCTCTGCTATCCTTTATTGTAACAGGGAGCTAGAGGCTCCTGTTACTTGAGGGGAAAAACAGCAGCAGAGAATTTTCCAGGTGGGCATGGGAAACACTGCCCAGGATGAGTTGGCTGCAAGAGAATAGGCAGCTAGGGGCAAAAGCCTATGAGTACCTATTGCAGAGCTCGCTGCTTTACAATAAGAGAGTAGAGTAGAGCCTACTGGGCACTGCTAGAGCAGCAGTTGTGTAGAGACCAACCATAGAGACCAGCTGTTAGACCCTAATGAAAAACCCCTGTGGGTGCCTCACAAACCACTTGACCAGAAGGGGCAGGGCAGGGGCGATGTGTAGGAGGTGCACGTGGGTGCATGTGCACCCCCTGAGTGTGGTGCACCCCTACAAAAAGGTGCCTGCGGGCAGTCGCTGCTCACCACCGACATTGCTGGTGACGTCAGCAGGCAGTCTGCAATCCCTGCTGGCCACTGCCAGCACTGCCAGCAGCATCTGCAGGTGGTCACTGACGCCTGGTCAGTGCTTTACCCCCACCCCCCGCCACCGACAGTGCCAGCGGTGTCTGCGAGAGCTCCCCTGCTTACCACTGCTATGCTCCTGCCGCCATCACCGTGCTCCTGCCGCCGCCGTGCCCCCCCCAGCTGCCAGAGCCAGGCATCATTCATGGGGCAGGGCTTAGGAGGCATATAAGCTCAGGGCCTGGACTAGTCTGTCCCTGCAAACTTCAGAAAGAAATGCTCCAGGTCAGGAAGTCTGCTGGAGAGTCTGTGGCTGATTCCTGGGCTGTTGGGGGGATTCAAGCAAGGTGCTGAAGGCTTGCTGGGGAATGTGACCCAGGCCAGAGAAGAAGTTCGTAATACAAGTTTCCCTCGCCAACCACTGGGGTTAGGTTCCTGAAACTTCCTGTGGTTGGCAAAACCATGGTTGGCAAGACTTAAAAGGCTTAAGGGAAAAATGGCAGGTGGCAGGCTGATGCATGGCCACAGAAAACTGTGGTTACTCAAAACTGTATACCGAGGTAGCCAAAATGGTATATAGAATATTAAGCGTGGATACTCAAAACTATGGTTGGCAAGGGAAACCTGTACAGCCAGTGCGCTCATCTTTTCCCTGACAATCAGGAATTAGCTTCTTTTTTTTTTTACTTTCATTTTGTTAATAAATCAAGAAACAAATTAGTGCTGGGTCCTTTTTAAGCTATCATTTTAATTAGAAAAAAATATTTCTAAAAATGTGTGACAGTGAGATCTGTTATAGGGAGATTAATATATGCAAATATAATACAAAAGTATGTTAATAATATTAAAATATGCCTGAAGTTCTTTGTTATGAAGACAACTGAAGAACCAGAAAGATTAAAGATAGGTTCATTTTGGAGAAATAAAAAAGAAATCAAAAGCATTTAAGCTAGAAGGAGAAGTATCTGCTATAGCAGATTTTAAGAAAAAGGAAATCATCAGCACCCATGTTTCTGAAGCTGTAAATTACATTGTTCAAAGTGAAGCATAGAATTTTCTTCAGATAGAAAAGGCTTAGGTACTGCTACAACATATTGGGAATTTGCCTACTTAATATTAACGATTATGCAGACAATAGATAAGTGATCTACATGACAGACAACCATGAGAATTCATGACCATTTAGGAGATCGTGAATACTGGAGACCGCACTTCTACTTTTTAGAGAAAATATAACTTGAATATTTTGGGCTTTGTCTTTCAAATAATTCTCTTACATATGCCCATGATTTCCTCACCCCACCCCTGAGATTTAGTTCAGACAACTGCAGTGAGATAAAGGCATTAGCTGTATGACATTCATCAGCTAGCATGGAGCTAAAAGAGCATTTCAGCATTTCTATTTCTTAAGGCAGGGGTTGTCAACTTGAATGACTGAAAGCAGATTGAAAATCTCCGGAGAAATATTGACCCTTCATATGAGTGAGATGCTTTAAATATAGTCTCCCCTTGACACGCATTTGGCTTCTTTGTTATTGCTGCTATTAATCATTTTACAGGATGTTTGACATAAACAGGTCCTAAAAGAAATACATATATAAGAAAAGAGGTTTTATTCTGCCTTGGATCAAATCCTGACAAATCCCATTAACTTTGAAAGTAAATCAGGGCAGATTTTAGTCCAAACAAGGTCTCTGCCCAGTAAAACACCTTAATAGAAGCCCAAGTTTCATGTGCAAAAATGTACCTGTAATTACATGTTGACGTTTGTGTATGCAATTATGGAAATTGTACCTGTAAATTGAATGCCTAAATATAAATATCTATTGAATGATGATTTTTAATGTAAAGACACAAGCTTTCATGACTTAACATACAAAAACTGAAAACTTGGCCCTTACTGATTTGTCTGCATTGCTGTTTTCCCACCTACATAGATGCCCAAACCCTGTGTTGTCCACATTTATAGCCCTTATCCAGGCTGTGAGAGGTAACTACAGCCAGAGCTGACAAAATACTCAGTAGATACTCAAAATAAGCTGAGACTTGAACTTCTGCTTGCCAATTTTGCAGCAAGGATGGAACATAATAATTGGTACCTGAGTTAGAGTACAGAGAACTCCAGGGTTGGGAAAGTGTTTCAGCTGTTGGGCCAATGAATGAGTTTTGGTGAGCTGTTGAGGGCTGCACACACAAAATGTTTCAAAAAATAATTTTTGTCCTGATTTATGTGTTTGAGTAGTGTATATAGAGGTGATTGCATAATAGCTCAAAATAAAGTCTTACTTTTGTATCTTATGTGTGTGGAGGGTGTGAATGGGGGGTGCATGGGGTGGATGTAGGGGGATGTGTGTGTGTGGTGTGTGTGGTCCCAGGAGCCAGCTGCAGGTGTAAGGAGGAAGGAAGGGGTAGATGCAGTCTGTCGAGCTGGGCTGAGCAGTGTGCAGGTACAGTCTGGTCCCCCTCTCCCCTATCTGGCCCGCAGCTTCCCCCGCGGTGCTCCACATGGGGCCCACCCCCACCCGCTCCAGCCTGCACCCACCAATAGCATGGTTCTGGCCCCAGCCAGCGCGTATCATACCAAGTGGGTGTAGTGGGCAGAAAGTCACTGAGATCTGCAACTGGAGCCATGCACACTGGGGCATGATCTACCTAGCTGCAGCTTCCCCCATGTCGCTGTTTCCCTGTGCTACTTGATTCCCAGAGTAGTGCAACAGGGGCAGAAGGAGGAGCTGCTGGAGGCAGAGGGAATTGAGCGGTAGCTGGACAGCAAGAGCAGCAGCAAGAGCAGCCCCACTGGGAAGCTGTGCATAATGGCCAGGGCTGGGGCAGTGCTGTCAGCAGGTGTAAGTGGGAGCACAGTGTAGGCTGCTGAGCGTGGGGTTTGGCCCCCTGGGGAGCACCATGGGGGCAACCATGGGAGTGGTACCATATGGTTGGACTATAGCAAATATAGTATCAGAGGAAAGGATAAATAAGACCAAGAGGTAAATGGACAACGGGATGAAATGCAACATGCCTGTTATCTTTCTTTAATAAGATAACTGACTTATAAAGCAAAGAATATGCAATAGAGCTCATGTTGGGACTTCTATAAAGCATTTGATATGGAACTGCAAGAGAAATTTTCAGAAAAAATAGAGAAGGAAATTAGTAGAGGAATTATAAGTTTGGTAAGGAGTTAACTAAAGGGAAGGTCACAAAGGGAAGGTGTTGATAG